GAAGTTGAGGAACCTCTGAAGCTGATGATTGATAATAAGTTTGCAATTGATCTTGCCAAGAATCCAGTGCTACATGGAAGAAGCAAGCACATTGAGACTAAGTGTCATTTTCTCAGAAGAAGTGCAGAAATGATTGTTAGAAGTTATGCACTGTAACACTCAAAAATAGCTTGCAGATCTTTTGACAAAGACAGTTAAAACATATCAATTTCTTTGCTTGAGAGATGAAATTGGTGTTGTTAGCTTCTAATAGAATATCTAAATTAAGGGATGATATTGGAAATATAATTTAGTTAATGTCTACAATTCACAATGCTTATTCTTTAATAGGGTCTTTTGGTATTTTCAATTTTAGTATAAATATGCTACATAGGTTATCAATATTGTAACTCATTCATTCCTCTATTTATATAATAATAGTCATGTTTGTTATCATTCATTGTTCATTCTTCTTCTCCCTTTCATTATCTTACACCAACAATAATGACATGCAGCAACAAAGGAGAGTGAAGTTCGTTGACGAAATTTTGAAAACGAAATTGAGGTAAAGGGAAAGAAACGATTGAAAAGGTGAAATCCGAAAACATTGATACTATTTTCTTTATATAATCATAATAAACATAAACCAATATGAAAAGATATATACCACTCACATTTTTATTTTGTAAAAAATGACGAGATTGCTAGATCAATGATAGATGAAGAAAATAAAAAACCTATTTTTTCTCCTTTTCAATTTGAAACTCTGCAACCCAAATACATTGATGGATGAAAAATAGTTATTATGGGAGAATCAATGAGATTTACAATTTAGTTAGGGTTAATGGTAAATTAAATACAATTTATATTTAATTTTAAAAAAATTAAAAATTGATATTTTCTCTATTTTGGATAGTGGAAGTAGGATTTTAGTTTAATAATTGTAATTACATTTAAGGATATGAAAAACATTGTCTAAATAGTTAAAAATAAAAATTAATAAAGAAAGATTGAGGATTTGTATTGTCCACAGTAAGCACAAGTTGACAATCACAACGCCGCCGTGACCGTGGAGGCAGAGCAGAAGCAAGATGCCGGCAAGAGCAGAGAAAGAGCGGCTCAACCTCCTCCTAGGTTCCCACCTCACCACCATCCATGAAACCCTACAAGTTCTCGATCAAACTCCATCTTCTTCTTCCTTCGATTCCAAAGTCTCCTGGGAAGACGTCCTTAAAATGGCCGATCAAGTTTCCAAACAAGCTACCACAGGTTCTTTACTCTTCCTTCATCGCAACCGTTAATGATACTGTCTTTAGGGAAGTTTTTTTTTTTTTTTGGAAATTCAATTTGGTATTTGATTTAGGGTTTAGGGTTTATGTATAAGATGTTTCTGTAATATAATATTAACTAAAATTATATATTTTTTTTTAATCTATTTTCATAAGCTATATATGGAGAAGATGAATACAACTTATCAACAGAGTTGTTTTCGTAAGTTTTCCCAAATAGTCGTGCAAGTGCTTATGTTTGTAGATAGGTTCAAATAAGTCAATTTACACGGTTTCAAATTTAGGCAAATGGCTTAATTAAACACTAAGATTGTGTATGATTATGCGGTGGAAAAAAAAATAAGTTTGAGTTAATTGATTCTGGATAAAAGTGAGTTGAAGATAAAATTATTTATGTTTGGATGAATTTGTTCAAAAGTGAGTTGAACAGTAAATTTCAGTGTAAAAATCACATTTGGATTGAAATGTTACAAGGAGAATCAATTCTGCTAAGCAAAATCAATTATATTCGAGAACAACCAAATATGTCAAAATCAATTCTACTCTGAGTAAATTGATTTTTGTTAAAAGTGAGTTGGATGTAAAGTGAATTATGTTTGGATACATTTATGTAAAAGGGGGTTGAACATCAAATTTTAGTGTAAAAATCACGTTTAAACTCAAAAACTACAAATTGTAACTTCAAGTAGAATCAATTATAAAGGCATAATCAATTTTACTTTAGAACAACCATACACCTCAAAATCGTTCCTGAATCATTTATGCACCTCTAGAATTGCTTTTGCCTCTTTAAAAAGCTAAACCAAACATACACTAAATGTGAAACCAAACATACACCAAGGGTGTGTTTGGATTGACGGTGGATAAAATTGATTCTAGTAGAATTGAGTTTGGTAGAATTAATTCTAGTAGAATTGAGTTTAGCATAATTGATTTATGTTTGAATATATTTATGTAAAAGTGAGTTGAATAATAAATTTCAGTGTAAAAATAACTCAGAATCAATTTTGGAGGCAGAAGTTACAAATTCTAGCTTCAAGTAGAATTAATTCTGGAGGCAGAATTAGTTCTACTTTTGATAAACCAAACACCTCAAAATCATCCCGAATCAATTCTATACCTCTAGAATTGATTTTGGATCTCCAAAAGTCAATTCAAACATGCTATAAGAAGTTACAACATGAGATAAAATAAGACCAAACAATTTTCATAAGTTTTTGTTAAGAATTTATGAAAATAAAACATCATATAGACATGCCAAAAGTTGTTTAGGTAAATCCCCTCAAGCAGAGTCATAAGTTTATGTCAGGATATAAGCTCAAATGAATCAATTAAAATAGACCTTAAGAGTGTGCGTAAAGGAGAAAGAATGTGCCTGCTTTCAACATTTCTTGCCTTGTTGTATTTCACAAGTGTGGCTAATAGATTATCAAGTTTTTCCATAGGAGTTGTTCACATAGGTGGGTATAGGTTTACATGTTGATAAATCTATGTGCTTTTGTGCAGTTGGAATGCTTTGGTCTGGAGACAAACCAGAGTCGAAAGCAATTGAGGAAAATATGACAGCCTATTTTAACAATCTACAAGGTTTCCTCTTGGTTTCTCATGGCAGCATGGTAGGTGCAGGACCTACCCTGTCTTCCAGTATTCATGAATCTGTCAAGCAAGTTGTTGATTCCAGCTTCAGGTTGATGAAAGAAACCGTCTCTTTATATGGTAAACTCTTTCTCGCCCTATAATCTTAAACAGATTATCGAACTACTGGTTATCGACTTTAAAATTTCATATATCAGAATACTTATCCTTTGGAATTTTCTTCCTATATCAAACTATTTCTTAACTTTTAGTTAAATTGTTAACAACTTTTCATTCTCTTGTAATGAAAACCAACAGGATCCCATAACGAAGTCCAGAAACAATCAGTTCCGCAACTGGTAGGTGTTGTATGGGAAGCATGCTCTGCTCTTAAAAAGACACCTTCATCAAACATTACAGCAATCGGGCGAGGAATGACAAAGGTTGCAGTTTCAGTGAAAGACGTTCTACGTGAAATGAAAGAATTGAAGCCAGGTTCTAGTGATGTTCCCGCTGAGACAGAGTCTGAACCACATGATGATAATTCAAGTGAAGGTGATGGTGAACTAGGGAATGACCTATCGCCAGAAGAGATGAAAATCGCTGAAAGAGCCATTGTGGTTGTGTCTGACACGCTTTCAGTCCTGAAAGAACTTATTCGCTCCATCACAGGCTTGATTAAGATGGAAAAACCAAATGACAACAGTGGTTTTGTAGATTCACTTGAAAAATTGTTGCAGCTTTGTCAGGAACTTAGCCAACAAATCGATGAGATTGGAGCTTGCCTCTATCCCCCGCAGGAGATTCCTTCCATTGAAGCAGCGACGGAGAAAATCCACGGCATTATTGATGGTATGCAGGTGGAAATAGGAGGACTTCAAGGTGCATCAGACGCATTTCTAGAGACATGCAATGGTTTAAAAAGCTCAATGAGAGAGCTTGTGTTTGAACTAAGTAACTCTACCGGTACTGCTGATATAGAAGCTAGAGTGGAAAATATAACATTAGCTGATAAGTAGACTCTTGTGTTTGTACCGTGTGTGCAATGATTTTGACCATGTAGAACTTCTGTAATGATTCTTTTGATTTATAATTTTATTTTACTATATACATATAGTTAAGCATGGTCCTCTTTGAGGGAGTGCAAAGCACCCTACAACACAAGGCTTCTTGAAAATATCCATGACTTAACTAAAGCTAATTTCAATTTCTTACAAGGATCTCTCAAAAGTTTGAGATGACTCTGGTTTTAAATCTACTTTTCTTTCTTACAAATCCCTTATTTTAGATTTTATTTTGAGTGAGATGTTAGGAACACATATTTTATCTAATAAAAGAATGAGTGTTAGAGAGAGTGAAAAGATAGTGTTTTTAGTTAGCGTTTCTCTTCTAAATATTATCTCCAAAATAAATGATTGGAATTTCTATTTAAAATTAGCATTTCAAAATTTTATTTTAGTTTTTCTACACATTCTTTATATATTTCACACTTGTGTCAAGTAAAAAAAACTAAATTTATTTATAATAATACCTTTTCTATATAATAATTTTTTCAATTTAAAATTAGACATGTGAAATTCAAAATTCAGGATCTCATAATGTCTCATTAAACGACCATTGAATGATATTGTACATTTCAGACTTAATTAAAATATAAGAACACTTGGACGAGATGGCGGGAGTCTCTTCCCTCTTAACCAAAGGTTTTGGATTCGATTCATGTCCTGGGCATTGCAGCAAAAGACACATTTGAGTTGGGTCGCCCAGGACAACTATCGAATCTAGGAAGTTATCGATAGTGTAACCAGTGTGTAAATATCACATAATTCATCTTGAAAAAGCTTTCTCTTAGTTGTGTATAGTTTATATTGTAATAAGAAATTTTGATTTTAGTACTGCCATACAAAACGTAAGACAAAAGTCAAATCATAAATCTAAGTGCAGCCATATCAACACAGAAAAGCAGTACCTCCAAATGCCAAAGCCTCATGGAATTTAGGAATACTAGTTACAGAATTATAACTTTTAATCAATTACTAGTAGAATACAGGAAGTGTAATTCTCTGGCAGGAGTAAAAATATACACTAAACTCCTGTGTGAATGTACATTAACATCTGCTTAAACTGCTTTTCTTTTAGAAATATGCGGCAGCACAGTTACCGTCCAGCGAGTTTGACCATCCAAGCACCACCCAGATAAAGGCCTAATAAGGGTGCCGCTAGAAGAAGTTGAGTGAGAGGATCTGTAGACGGCGTAACTATAGCAGCTGCGACTACTGCACCGACTACAACATACCTCCAAATCGATAGCATCTTGTCTCCAGATACCAATCCAAGTTGTCCCAATAGAATTTGTATAATCGGCACCTACAATGTAATTCGATTCCATTACTGCCAAACATTCGAAGATAAAGCATTGCACATAAGCATTGCAAGAAGAAATTACCTGGAAAGACAAGCCTGTGCTGAACATAAGAACCAGAACAAACTCAAAGTATTGATCGATGGACCACAACGATTCAACAGCACCTTCAGCGTAATTGACAAAGAAATTTAATGCCGCAGGTACCAGAACTAAGTAGGAGAAGGTTATTCCGGCGTAGAAAAGAACTGATGAGCCTAAAACAATTGGTCCTAGAAACTTTCTTTCTTCTTTCGTTAGACCTGGAATTATAAAGGCTATGATTTCGTAGAGAATGATGGGACTTCCCAAGAGGAGGCCACAATATCCAGACACCTGCACGATAAAATCACAACAATAGAATATCGCATTCACAATTCACTAGATAGGGAAGAAAGACGAAACCACCCGAGAGATATATATGCGAGAAAAAATGTTACCTTTAAAGTGGTGAAGAAAAATTCACCAGGAGCTAGTTGAAGAAATCTGACACCCTCTGATTTAACAGGAGCTTCGAGAATCTTTACCAAATCTTTCGAAAATGCAAAGCATCCCAAAATGCTTCCTCCAACTCCAAGAACTGATATAAAGATTCTCTCTCGTAGCTCTTCAAGGTGATCGAATATGCTCATTTCTTTATCATCAGGTAGAAGCTCTTTACTAGGATAAAGAAAATCATAGATAGCACTTCTCTCCCCATCATCTTCACTTATACCATCAATCATATCTTTATTTTCTAACACAACAATAAAAATTCAATTCGGTAAGTTTCTATTTTCAAAAACTTTTGCAGGCATAATCATTAATAAAGGTCTGTTTGAATTGATTTTACTTGAGCTTATCTTCTTGCATAAGTACCTATGACACTGTTTGGGAGAGCTTGCAAAAACAACTAATAACATGTTCATAAGTTGTTTCAGCTTACACGCCTAATTAGATTGACTAATTTGAGCTTATCTCCTGAAAAAAACACTTGTGCAAGTGTTTGAAAGAGCTTATAGAAACAACATATGATATGTCCACAATCTATTTTCAGCTTATTTCTACAAGGTTTACAAGATAGCTTACAAAGACGAATTATAGCTTATATGAAAATAGTTCGACTTAATTTTTCATCATTTGCTACAGAAATAGCTTATACATAAACATTTATATCATAAGCACTTATGCTATAAACACTTGAGATTAAACCGTTTATCCAAGCAGTTCCTATATCCACAAGTTCTCTGAAAACAACTAATAGCTTATATGCAAACAGTTTGATCAATTATAGGTTACACATAAGCACTTATACGATAGACATTCTTAATAAAGCAAATTATCCAAACAGGACCTATGAAGGGAAAAAACAAAACTTTATGAACTGAGGAACGTGGGTTTTGCTGAAACTTACCTGGTCTTTCTTCAATGGCGGAGCCAAGTCTATTCGAACCAGTACTCAACTGTTGTTGCTGTTTCTCTCTGATTCCATCGTCAACGGCGAAGCAAACGAGTTTATCAAGACTCTTGTTCTTCCTTCGAGAGAGAGGGTAGGTGAATCCGGAAGAATTGTTGACCCGAATAGGGTTTAAGTGGGTTCGGAGCAACCCGAATTGGGGAAGGATGTTGGTAGGAACAGTGGTGGTTCCCAAACCCATACCTCGGCCACGTACGTACGGTGTTTGTGTTTTTGTTTTACCGGGGGACGGTTGGTTCTCGTTAGATACGATTTTGGTTTGCGTGTTATGCTGTCGTAGCCTCGATATTTTGCACTTACACTTACGTTTACAATCAATCTATTATTTGTTCCTATTAATTTTTTTTTTTTTTTGACAAAGGATATTTTTAATGTTTGTTTTCCATATAAATAAGTTATTAAGTTTTTTAGTAATTTTTTTATTAAAATTGAGGATAATTTTATATTTATTTTATTATTTTAGGTTAAATAGATATTTAATTTTTATAAAATTATTAAAAATGGGTTTTAATCCCTATAAAAAAATAATCAAATTTTAATTTTTATAAAATTATTTTTGTATATGGTTTTAGTCTCACTACAGAAATTGAAATTGAATCCAAAAATAATTTTATAAATATTAAAACTCAATTTTTTTATAGAGACTGAAAATCAAAATTAAAACATTTATATGAATCAAAATATATTTAATTCTATTATTTTTTATTATTTACTTATGAGAAAATGACTTTAAAAATTAATATCAAATTAATTAATTAATAAAATGACTTAAGAAAAACCTTCCACTACTAATGCAAAAACGATTCCTTATTATTTTTAAATAATAATATTTATCTATTATTTATTTTATTATTTTTTATTATTTAATTATGAGAAAATGAAACTAAAAATTAATACCAAACTACTTAATAGAAAAAAACAATTCTCGCGTTTTCAAATTTTAACAACCATTATTAACCTTAAAAATGCCAACCTCCATGCTTCCAATTACTTAACTAAATCATAGATTAAAAATTAAAAAAAACTCAACATGGTAGTTTAAAATGACAACAACATCCATGTTTTCAATTAATTTAATTTTTTAAAAATTAAAACTATCCACCACTAACTCAATCTTATACGTTTCCAGTATTTATTATCTACTTTAATATATAAAAACTAATTACCATAAAAAATACTTAATTATTCAACCTAAATCAATTTTAAGAGCATTTTTCATGCCTCTAAATATAATTATCTGTTAAAACGATTCATTTACCTTAAACCTTAATTAATTATAATGTAACCTATAATTATAGTGTTTTCCATTTCTCCACATTTTGGAACCTACAATTTCAATACAACTATTAATACCATTTGATACGTTCATTTAACTTTTGCGTCCAAATTCTAACCTAGAGTTGTGAAAAATTCAAATATTTCACTCTCCTCAATAAATTGAACAGTGAAAAGTCACATTGGTTCTAAATATTCCACAACAACATCTCCTCCTTCTTTCAATTCATCGCTTCAAGTTTACTCTACCTCTTTCAATACCAGTATACTCCCTTTCGGCGATTCCGCTATTGCATCGTAGAGTTCACCCTTCTGTTTCATGAAACTCAACCAACTTCGGCTCCCCAGCGTCAAATCTCCCACCTCATGATAAACTAACACTGTGTCAGCTCTTAAATTCGACACTCACATAAATTGGTCTTATTGGCTAAAAATAGATTAAAGAAATCTAAAGTTGAAGACACTTCGACCAGAAGAGCCTATGAAAGGGGTTGTGTCGAAATCATCCTTGCTAAGAAGGAGAAAACACTTAGAGAATTTTCTAAGTTAAAGATGGTCTTCGACCAAGAGGTTTTTGTGGTCTTCAACCGAGAGGTTCATGTGATCTTCGAATGAAAGGTTCTCGTATCAGCAAGCAAGTGAATTCGAATTTGAAGAAAGGAGGGAAAAGCAGTTCACTTGGCAGTTAGGAAAAGCAACGTGGCATGAAGATAGAGATCGAAGAACGTGCAAAGGACACTTGTCCTTATCCTGGATCGAAGCAACCGTTCGACGTTTATTTATTACCAGTATAAATATAGGAAGTTTGTGTAAAATTTCGGGTGATCAACTTATTAGTACAAGTCACTCAAATATATTCAAGTACCCGCTGTGTGAGAAAGAATTTTGAGAATGTACGTTTGAATCACCACATTTTAATTAAAGTCAAGTCTTTACATTCCGTTACAATCTTTGCCATTTACGTTTCTTTGTAAACTTTATCATTACAACCCTTTATCATTACTGCAAATTTACTTTCTCTTGCCTTTTACTTGCACTTTTATTAAATTCCTACCTTCATCCTCCCTTTACTCTTAACATCTTCTCAAACCTTTTCATTTAAACTTAAAAATAACTTAGCATATGTCTTAGGATCAATCTGATCGATCATGCAAGTAACCAAAATAACCATTTTTAGAAGATCAGCGGTTGTTTACCGATTTTCATGGTAAACAAATTGGCACACTTGGTGGGACGTTGCTAAGTTTTCTTGTTTTTTTTTACAAACTTTGATAAAACCAGTTTTTATCATAAATGCTTTAATTAATTTCCTTTCTCTCAAAGAGTGTTGCATATTATTGAGAAGTGGAAAAACAACCACCAACGAATACATACCTAAGAGAAGAACTAGGATAATGGCTAATCAGTCTAGTGGAGAAATGCCTCCACCAATTCCTGGCAATGGAACCACGGTTATACCAACAATTAGTGAACCAATGTCATCAACAGTTGGTTCGATACCAAAAGTAACGGTTGCACAAACATGACCAATACTTTCTTATATAGGTCCTAGAGGTCCACCAGGAACACCCCCACCAAGGGGAAATCTTGGAGTTCGACCTTATGTCTCTCCAGGATTTTCGACAGCCTAGATGGGTCGAGACCAACTTATGGCATGCCAACTGCTGAAATGGCAAGCCTTATAAATGCTTCATCCATATTTTCAGAACCTTTGGTGAGTGCATCTTCACCATTACAGGGATCTGGATCTGGTATGGCAAATTTGGGTAGAAACCAACTCTTAGGAGGAACGTCACATACAATGTCAAGTCTCACAAATGCTTCTACAACAATTTTGAGGCAACAAATGGATGAAAGCAACCATGACATGATGCAAATATTGGCACAAACCTTGAGTACAGTGCTCAACCCTTTAATACAAAATACCACCCAGTCGAATCAGCAAATGGAAGCACAAATGACGCGCATGGCTGAATTTTTTGGGGTTCCTCAACCTATTCGACAACCCCAAAGAGAGTTGATAAGAGGAAATCATGGTGTAGTTTTAGAGGATGACATGACCATTAACCAGAATCCACAGCCAGATGGGATGAACCATAGAGTAGAAATCGAACAACTTAGGGTCGAAGTACCCAGAGTTGCTCCACAAATCCCAAAAGTTGTCGAACAAGGTATAGTTATGGTAAATCGAAACCAAAATGCTGATGAAGTAATACAACAGGTTCGACACTACAACTATGCACTAGATAATAACTTGACAACCATGGTTGAAAGAATCATGGCACATAATGGAGTGAATATTGGCTTTCATAGGCCAAACTTTACATCTCTGTTATCAGATTATATATTGTGTAACACGGTGGGAGAACTGACTTGGTTGTTTTGCGTTTGATCGTAGTTGTTGCGGATAGCAAGAGTCGCAACCGACTTTTCTTTTATCCAAAAGTAAAGGTTGAAAAGAACAGGAAAGACCTTTCGAGATTATTTCTTGAGTTCGAGGGGTAGGTTATGAAAAGGGAATGTATTAGCACCCTTTTCATCCATAGTTATCTACGGGATCTTAGTTGCTTGCTAGATCACTTGCTTTTGTTTGAAAATGTGCTTGTGGTGTGGGTTTTGAAAGTATTTTGAAAACGTCTTTGTAATGGCTCTCGTTTCTATAAGAACGCGTACAAAGTGTTGATTTTGAAAATAGTTCAAAAAGGTGTTTGTGAATGAGTTTTTGAAAGTGATTTTAAAAAGTATCTTTGTAATGGTTCTCGTTTCTATAAGACGCGTACAAAGAGCTTTGTCTTTTGAAAATGTTTCAACTTGAAAGTGTTGGTGTAAAAATGTCTTTGTTGTGAGCAAGCGAGAAACTAGGAGCATCCTACCTACTCAAAAGGTCTTAATGTTCTTTTCCTCCTCCTTTAGATGTTGCTATCTTACCATTGATTTGGTAAGAAGCCCCATTGTTGGATGTGAAGGGACGGGCGTGAGACGTTAGTATAGTCATAGAAGGCAACCTATGAGACGTTTTAGCAATTTTCATTTAGGGACTAGATTGTTTACTGAAGGCAACATCGAGGGATATCGAGGGACTACGATCTTTTATCGAGGGTCTTTGCTAAAACGCCCATATTCGAGGGACATGACTATTTTCTGAGGCAACAAGTGAGACTACCCTAGAGGTGCATGTGTATGAATAATGTGTTTTATTTGCATGCATTTAGTATTTGTTTAGGGTGGTCTACTTGTTGATTTTATCTTATCATACACACCCTATCTTACTAGCAATTATATGAAAAGCGGTAAACTTGCGGAAATTTAAATCCTAAGTTATTACATCATTAGGGGGATGGGGATACAATTTGCAAATTTGGATGAAATAGGTGTCTAATTATTACAACCATATCGAATAAGTGGACAGTAATGAAGAATATATAAATATAATGCAAAAACAGTGTAAAAAGAAGGAAAAACAGCATTTTGAACTATTATGTGTCGACACATGCTGTTATACATCGACACATAACTTTCCTTGCCCCTGCCAAACCAAATCAACTCATTATTAGTCGATGCATAATGGGATATGTCGACTCATTTCCTACTTGTGTCGACACATATGCGCTTTGTGTCGACTCATGCACCTTTCATCCTTCTGTTTTGGGACCTGGATAGTGTTGTACCCCAAAATTTTCTCTCTCATTTCTCAAGGCATTTCTCACAAGGATTCTCAAAATTCAAGTTTGCCCAAGTACAATTGGATTTTTCAGCATCAAGTTAAAGAGGAAACTGTTAAAAAAGGGGAAAACATATAAAAATAATTTTTTTGACAAAATTGGAGAAAAAGCAAGTCTTCTTCGATTCACATCTTTCAATTGGACTTTTAGTTTTCTTCGATGCAAGCTTGACTTGCATCCTTCG